CTTTTAGGTGCATTCCAATCTTACTTTGAGATTGCACGTAGTACACGCAGGACCCGAAGGCCACGTAACCCACAAGGCCGTTTGTCTCTTTCTCTGGGATCAGTAGAAAGGTTAGAGGGTCCTAAAGGCAGCGTGGACACATATGATCCTTCGTTGGACATATGGTCAAGCTATATTGAGCGTTACTATCAAACTTTAATTGTTGTATTAAAATGTATTCTTTCCAGTATATTTCCTTCCTTGGGAGTAAATGCCAGTGATCTGTTTTTCTCCCAAACGAGTGAATGTTTTAGCAGTATGTTTTGGTATACTTAACTGATAATAAGGAGCTCAGACTCTCTTCAGCCTTGATGGGAGCTGTTATTTGCTAGTGTCTGTTATTTGTGTGTGTGTGTGTATGACATTCTATGTAGGTTCTGGACGGTCGGACCAGACACCCCGGTGCCCTTCTCTAACCTGCGAGGCCACCACAGACCTAAATCCAATGAGTGGACGACAACTATCTTTACTAATGGCGATAGGCACCCCTATCTCCTCACATGTGTTAAATTGTTTAGGCTTTCATGTTTCTTAGCCAATGAGAATCATTCAACCTGTAAGCAATGACGTAGCTTAGACCTTGGAAATGGTATAACTGCTGTGATCTGTGTAACTGTAAGCGGGGCGGCCTACGAACTCCTGTGTGAGTCTTGAAGCTGACTTCTGCTGATGAAAATGCAAACTATCTTCAGTAAAACTTTTCTTTAATTTTTTATAATTCTGACTCCGGGTCTTCATTCTTCATATCTGGTTCTGGGTCTTTGACTGTATACCCCTTACAATACAATCAAACATAATACAGTGAAAGATAATCTTTAAAGTTAATTTGGGGCACAATGATCAGGCATAATAATCTTAATCACAAAGAAAATAATATTAAAGCTCCAGTCCGTAACTTTTTTAAGTTAAAAATAATCCAAAATAATTATATTAAAAAAAAACGTATTCTGCCAGTGGTCAAAACTATCTGCTTGCCATAGCTAGATTCAAAACGGTTAGCTTGTAATAATGATTTTAATTCCAGTGGTACTGGTGGGTTTCCGCGGGAAATTCGAGCATGTCTTTGCGTCATTACGTCACACCCGTACACATAAAGAAGGAGTTTCGGCTAGCCGGCTATACTGCGCGTGACGAGATGTTTAGATGTATAGGCTTTTCTCGCAGCACTTTACATAATTAAACTTATGGCATCCAGAAAGATCCAAACAACAATCATCAGTGTCAACTGGAGATTCAGCAGTTATAAAACCCAAAAGACTTCGTACTTCGGTTTTAAGGTGGCTAGAGAAAGAGAAAGAAACCGTCTCATGCGAACACAAGGATTTAAACATCGGCGGGGCTTTTGAAAAGTGCGTGAACTCCGTGTTTTGAAGGGGTTCAAAACAGAAGAAGAGACGGCTTTTTTCTGCTGAACAAGTAAGACATTTCAATAGTTCAATCGTGTAACAGTACGTTTTCTTAATTCACACAGTTATGGAGTTTCCTTTGTTGTGCCTTTCTCGTTTTGCTATTATGGAGAATATGAATTCTGAACTACACAGGTAACCATAAAACACATTAAATTTAACATTAGTCACGCAATGCTGATGTTGTTAACATGAACAATTTGAGAACAAAGTAGGCTATAATTTGCACGGTTGCTGTAAATCGCGTTGATTAAATCTAACGAAGCTTATCATGTCGAATGCTTTTTCCCCCTTAGTTGGTCAGAACAAAAATGGATTTTACTTACTTGTTCAGAAGACATTTTCTTATGAAAATTCTTATGTTGCTCAAACTTTCAAAAGGTGAATCTGTGATTCTGTATGACAGTATCCACACAGCGCGGCGACTGACAGCACCACTCGCCTCAAAACACATCCGCGCTGTTTCATGCCGATTTACAACCCACGTAAAGATAATAATTCCGCGAATCACTGCAGTTACAGATTTCGAACAGAGAGATGGCGACAAAGAGGAAAAGTTCCGGACTGCAGCTTTAAGGTTTATAAACTAACAAAATAATAAACGAATAAATAAAACATTAACAAAAGATAAATAAATCTCAGAGAGGCACGCATAAACAAAATTAGTTTCTAACATTTTTGGAAAAAGCGAATGGGCAATATTTCTCATGAAAAAGTGGATAAGTGTTCATACACAGCGCAGATCATAATGAGCGAGCGTGTTTTTTAAATAAAGTTTGAGGAAGCTTGATGATGACGTTGATCCGCGACCATAGCATTTTATATCTGAAGCCTTTATTTAGGCTTCAAAATGTATACATCTAGTTGGGTCACAACTCTTTGTTGAACACAGATCTTTTTTTTGGCGATTTTCCAAAAGTCTATGGGGAAAATGCATAGCTTTTCGATCGAGGGAACCCATGCGCCGCTAACTTCCGAGTTGTCCTACAAAGTGACGTCATAACTTCGGCACTCTATAAGCTATCGACAATGAGATTAGAAAAATAAAGTGCAACACTTACAAAAAAAAGCCTCTTAAATAACACCTTTCCCATTTTCCAAGACTTCATCATCAGGCAAAAATGTGCTTCCCTTCAATGAAAGCGAAGGGACCACGAAAGTATGCCACTTTCCCTTCAGCTCGTGCTTGTTTAATGCGTGGCCAAAGTACTCCCGTAGCCTCTCGGTCTTCTTTATTTAAGTCCTCAGAGAAATTAATGCATGCTTCCTTGCACACGGTTGATCCCTTTGACAATGTCCATATTTGATCTCTGTAGATTCGCTTTGAAAGCTGTATGATGATCTGGCGCATACGATTTCCTTCTCTTCTGCCAATACGATGAACCGTATCAACCGCCTCTTCCATTTCCCAGGGCACACCAGGAGCAATCTTGGCCAGCAGGGTTATCACTTCCTGTCGGATGCGTAAATTCCAACGCCTTTTGTAGCGATCCAATTCTCCTACCCTTGACCTCAGCTCTTTATTTTCTTTTTTTAAGATCAGAAAGTTCCAGCTCCAATATAGCTTCCTTCTGCTTGTGAGCTTTCATCTCTTCCTTAACCTCAGAAATGGTGTTACAATTCTCTTCCATTTTTTTGGACAGCTCCTCCAGTTTCTTGGGAGTGAACAACTCTTTCTCTCTATGGCTCTGGACTGAAGCAATCTAAATCTGATTAATATACACTACAGTTTAAATGTTTGGGGTCACTATGCTCTTATTTAATTGAATAAATTAAAGGTGCTCTAAGCGATGTCGGGTGACGTCACTTCTTGTTGACTTTTAAAGTATTGTCAAACAAAACGGAGGCTAGCTAGACCCTCCCTCCTCCTCATCCGCGCACTAACCCTCCAAACCCCGCCCCCAAGTCCTTCTTGTCGGTGATTGGCTGGAACTGTTTGTCATGTTTTGTGGAGCGGGTTAGCCCAGTTTGTTTTTGTTGCTGTTTGTGGAGCCTGGGCTGTCTACAGAGATCGCGTTTCTTTACAGTGTGTTCAGGGGACAGGCAGCCAGCGGTTAGTGAGGAGATGTTTGCTGTATGTGACAAAAAATGTTTTGGCCTAAAAAACGTGTGACATCGCTTAGAGCACCTTTAATATTTTTATTTAGCAAGGACACCTTAATCAAAAATAACAGTAAAAAATGTATAATATAACAAAAGATTTCAAAAAAATGTTGTTCAATCTTTCTGTTCATCAAAGTATCCTGAAAAAGCAAGACTGTATTAGAGTTTCCACACCTTAGTAAGCAGCACAACCATTTAAAAAAAAACATCATAGAAAAAAAAAAACATTTAGGCCTATTTTTAAATAGGATTTTTTTTAAATAATGTGTGGCAAACAGGATGAAAAAGAGGACCAGGGCTGGACTATTTCTGCTGTGTTTTGTTTATTTGTGGCGGCAGTCGTCCGTTTAGTTGTTTGTTTATTTTACGTTATTAAAGAATTTAAATGTTTGCTGGTTCACGCCTCCTCCTCACACCAACTTACTTTTACATAATGATTTAATTTAGGCACTAATACAACATTAGTTATTAAAAGTGACAGCCCAGTGGGGTTGTTGAATACACCAGAAACAGAGACCAGGAATGATACTCTACGTTGATTAAAGTAAAACAAACAGAGATGTAATCCATAGAAAGTAGTTAAACTTAAATGAAAAGCAAACAATGTCTTCATGTTTATAACCTAAAACCGATTGAAAAATCGCTCCTCTTCATAACGTAAGGATCACGTCCAACATATGTTTAGATTTTTTGTTTATATCTTTAGGCTCCTTAGCATGTAAAAAGGTCTATTTTATTTTGGATTTCTTTTTAAAATTTTGTTTGTGAGTCCCTGATGTATTTTGGGATTATTTATAGTTAGAAATCTTGTTTATTATTAAGATATGTGTTTGCACAATAAACTGCATCTGAGGTGTCATACAATTTGGACTCCTGTAACTATTGACTGATTATTTGGAAATCTGCTTTTCCTCCATCTTAGATCAGATTAAACTCTATTGTCATTTTGAGAGCTAATGAAATAGACATTCTTAGTTATCAATTTTGGAAAAATTCAAGATCAGATGACCTCTAGACCTACACGTCTAAATTCATCTCAACGATACAAAATAACAATTCTCACAAGTTTTGTGAGGGTTATAATTTTTTCACTGATTAGCAACAAAAGAAAATAATTTATATGACATATTTTAACTGCCTTTTTAAGAAATCTAAGTCCAACTGGTACTGATATGATCATTTTACCATATAATTAAAAATAAATATGAAATCTGTTGTTTTTCCTTATAATAAAGAAGCAATTGCATTGAATATTGAAGGGTCTGTTTGTCCGTTTTCTTGTCAGATGATGACAAATATTTTTATAAATATCTCATTTTAAACTGAAATTATTTGTATAAATGAAAGTTTGCCAGTATCATTTTGTATCTGTAACAAAACATTGTAGAGAATTTAAATTGTTCATAGGGTGTGTATTATGTATAACAATTATTAAATAAAAAAAACACTCACCACTGACACTGAATATCTTCTCTGAGGACCCACTGTTGTTGATGATCTGTAGTTTACATTCTCCAGAGTCTGTGGTTTTGATGTTTGTGATCTTGATATCTCCAGTCTGATTGTCCAGCTGCAGTCTGTCTCTGAATGCCCCTTCAGTTCTGACGGAGTCATCACTGATTTTAGCAATGCGATATCCATTTAACCTCCATTCTATCTCATCATCTCTCTGTATTTCAGTAACAGCAGTGTGTAAAGTGACAGAATCTCCCTCAATGACTGACACTTTCTCTGCATCACCAAACACACCTGGAGAACAAACAGAAACATACTCAGTCAGAAATTAAACATATAAAACACTCAGAAATCATGAGTCTTGTTGACTGATCAGTGGCAATAATAAATCTCACATGTTTTTCTGCAGTCTGCATTAAATCTGGGTCTACACTGTTCTGTTTATGCCCATCATGTACACACACACACACACACACAATATTATGTGGCTACAAACAACAAACGGATACATATTTGTATTGAGGAACCCAAACTCTTAATAACAACTACCCACAAATGAGTATACAATTATTAGGCTATATATGTTTGAGTTTCATCTAAAACAAACAATAGAATTTAATGCAATGCATTAGATCTATTGTAACTCAAGGAATCTTTTCATAGTTCCTAGAACTATTGGCGAAAGTACCCGGATTTTGGCGTGTTCGCAGGAACTAAGAGCGATTTTAGGCAAGGCAAGTTTATTTATATAGCACATTTCATACACAATGGTAATTCAAAGTGCTTTACATAGAAGGAATTAAAATAATCAAAAATAAGAAAAAATAAGAAACTGTTTAGAATAAAAATGAAATAAAATACAGTACAAACAGTCGGACACACAGTGGCACAGTGCTCATTCAGTAAATGCACAGCTAAACAGAAGTTTTTTGAGTCTGGATTTGAATGTGATCTCTTGATCTTGATCTCTTGATCTCTTCTGTAGGAGCACATCTGATCTCTTCTGTAGGAGCACATCTGATCTCTACTGTAGGAGCACATCTGATCTCTACTGTAGGAGCACATCTGATCTCTACTGTAGGAGCACATCTGATCTCTTCTGTAGGAGCACATCTGATCTCTTCTGTAGGCGCACATCTGATCTCTACTGTAGGAGCACATCTGATCTCTTCTGTAGGAGCACATCTGATCTCTACTGTAGGAGCACATCTGATCTCTACTATAGGAGCACATCTGATCTCTTCTGTAGGAGCACATCTGATCTCTTCTGTAGGAGCACATCTGATCTCTTCTGTAGGAGCACATCTGATCTCTTCTGTAGGAGCACATCTGATCTCTTCTGTAGGCGCACATCTGATCTCTACTGTAGGAGCACATCTGATCTCTACTGTAGGAGCACATCTGATCTCTTCTGTAGGAGCACATCTGATCTCTACTGTAGGAGCACATCTGATCTCTACTATAGGAGCACATCTGATCTCTTCTGTAGGAGCACATCTGATCTCTACTGTAGGAGCACATCTGATCTCTACTGTAGGAGCACATCTGATCTCTACTGTAGGAGCACATCTGATCTCTACTGTAGGAGCACATCTGATCTCTTCTGTAGGAGCACATCTGATCTCTACTGTAGGAGCATATCTGATCTCTACTGTAGGAGCACATCTGATCTCTACTGTAGGAGCACATCTGATCTCTTCTGTAGGAGCACATCTGATCTCTACTGTAGGAGCACGTCTGATCTCTTCTGTAGGAGCACATCTGATCTCTACTGTAGGAGCACATCTGATCTCTACTGTAGGAGCACATCTGATCTCTTCTGTAGGAGCACATCTGATCTCTACTGTAGGAGCACATCTGATCTCTACTGTAGGAGCACATCTGATCTCTACTGTAGGAGCACATCTGATCTCTACTGTAGGAGCACATCTGATCTCTACTGTAGGAGCACATCTGATCTCTACTGTAGGAGCACATCTGATCTCTACTGTAGGAGCACATCTGATCTCTTCTGTAGGAGCACATCTGATCTCCTCTGTAGGAGCACATCTGATCTCTACTGTAGGAGCACATCTCATCTCTACTGTAGGAGCACATCTGATCTCTACTGTAGGAGCACATCTGATCTCTTCTGTAGGAGCACATCTGATCTCTTCTGTAGGAGCACATCTGATCTCTACTGTAGGAGCACATCTGATCTCTACTGTAGGAGCACATCTCATCTCTTCTGTAGGAGCACATCTGATCTCTTCTGTAGGAGCACATCTCATCTCTTCTGTAGGAGCACATCTGATCTCTTCTGTAGGAGCACATCTGATCTCTTCTGTAGGAGCACATCTGATCTCTACTGTAGGAGCACATCTGATCTCTACTGTAGGAGCACATCTGATCTCTACTGTAGGAGCACATCTGATCTCTTCTGTAGGAGCACATCTGATCTCTACTGTAGGAGCACATCTGATCTCTACTGTAGGAGCACATCTGATCTCTACTGTAGGAGCACATCTGATCTCTACTGTAGGAGCACATCTGATCTCTACTGTAGGAGCACATCTGATCTCTACTGTAGGAGCACATCTGATCTCTACTGTAGGAGCATATCTGATCTCTACTGTAGAAGCACATCTGATCTCTTCTGTAGGAGCACATCTGATCTCTACTGTAGGAGCACATCTGATCTCTACTGTAGGAGCACATCTGATCTCTACTGTAGGAGCACATCTGATCTCTTCTGTAGGAGCACATCTGATCTCTTCTGTAGGAGCACATCTGATCTCTTCTGTAGGAGCACATCTGATCTCTACTGTACACTCTAAAAATTGCAGGGTTAAAAAAATAACCCAACCTTAACCACGCCGCTGGGTCACTATAGGACAGAACACGCGCTGGGTTGGTTTGACCCGAGTGCTGGGTTTTTCCATTTAACCCATATTGTTGGGTCATTCATTTGACCCAACCAGTGGGTGAAATTGACCATCTTGCTGGGTTAAGTCTTACTCATGTGCTGGGTTATTTCCTGTATCATTGCCTTATTAAAATTAGTAACAAATATTTTTTATATAACCGTACTAATGTAAAATAATGATTGTCTCTGTAATACAATAAACCAGAGAGGCCACTGTATATGTGATTTCAATCATTTATTTTATTTTTTTACATTTTTAATACATCTTTAATATTTTTTTGTAAACAATTATTACAATTATACAATGTATACTCATTCTAAGGTAAAAAAAAACATAACGGTTCATTAAGTAAGGTCTTTATACACCACTGAAAACATAGTTATGTATATGATATTGCATTTCTGTTAACAGATCCTCCTAAATACAGTATTACACAATGCACCTTTAAAAGTCAATAAGAAACTAATTTGAACTCTTATACGATTATGATTTCATTTATTAAGATGTGTTGATTTATTAAGAATAGCTACAAACATTTACAATGCGACTAAATATCACAGGGTTTTCCTCACATTTGACAGAGGATGATTCTTTTCCATTAATTTGATACACTGCTTCGTGTATTTAACATGAAAAACAAAATAAAACTTTGAAACAAAGATCACCAGCCTCCAGCAAAGACTCGGTTTCGATGACGTGGCCTGGAACAATGGCAACGGTCTGACGTGTCCCCCTCGACGCATCCCTGATGCTCCAGTCATTTTGTAAATATTCATCCATGTTGGTCCTCAACTGTTGATTACACACAATCACTTAGTGTTGCAATATAACTGACATGCAAGTTTTTTGTGAAAGTATTTATATTTTTTTATTACAAACATTACCAAATATGGCCAAATGTGAAAAACAAACAAAATGTATATATACACATCTAAATAGACAATTAGCAGTCTATTCAGGATAAGACAAAAACACGATTTGGAAAATGGATTCATGATGTACTCGCTTATTATAAACATTTTGTAAATTTTGAACACAAAAAAAATTATGGACTGCAGCTTTAAAAATTAACAAAAATCTATTTAAAAAAAATGCAATTTTATGTTGCAAACAGAGATTGCACCTTTAAATATTCTAAACCTAAATTAATTTCATAGTTATCAAGCATATCAAACTTACAGGTTGCATGTCAAGGACCTCTGAGCCTCTGTGGTGGGTCTGAAGCCCTTTCCTCCTCTCCTGTAACGTTAGATGGATGGGGGAAGCAGAGTTTGCAGGACCTTCAAAGCCAGCAGCTAAACAATATGAGCATAATACATAAAGTTGCATTATCATTTAAATAGTATGCTGTATATAACAATTCATATTTCTAAAGTAGCATTTCTGACTTTTCTGCCCTGGTGTTTAAAATGGCGCTGTTGTGACAATAGCAAAAACTATTTATTGGCCTCAAACTTCGCGCACACTTGATCCATGACCAGTGACCACTGTCTTAGTAGTACTAAATTATTCTTAGTAGGCCTATCTCAGGTCCTAACAACTTATAATGGGTTCAGGGCGAGAACATGCTTAATATGAAATCGATTTATTTCTCATTGCCTCAGTGAGTCGCCGTTTGTAAAGATTGCACGTCAGACGTAATAGGCCTACAGTTATTATTTGATTTTGTGGGGTAAAAACGATCCTGGTTCCGACATAGACATTACAGAAGAAACACGCAGACTGTGCTGGAACTTACCCCCGTCGCTTCTTCTGATGAGAATTTCTTAAATGTGCCAGCAGACTTTAGTTTCCACACAGACTAGACTTTTTTCCCGCAGTTTTTACGTAGGCTACGAGCCCTATAAACATAGGCTACTGCGCGTGCACGGGTTCATTCAAAACGCTTTTCTCACTTTTAATTACTAAACGTCCACAATAAATACGATATTTACGTGATGAAATTACAATTTAAACTACATATTTCATTAAGGCTGCTGATATAGCTGGTTTACAATCTGGCATTTTGTCAAAAAATCTAACCGGCTAGCTGTTACTAATGTTTTACAGAATAAATACGTTATAGCCTACCCCTCGCACTTCCATATCAAAGACTGTATGCTGAACAGTGAAATTATTAATGTTAAAAATATTGGTAAACATATTAACTTACCATAAAACACTGCCTGCTCCGACCTTCGAGTGAAGTCCTCCTCGAGTCAGAAGTGAATAATCCAGAAAGTTCCGCAAAGAATAAACCGGTTGCTGGGTCAAAATAACCCAACCAGCTGTTTATTTGTGAATTACCCCCTTACAACTCATTTTACCCAGCATGAGCAACCCAATAATGTGTTTACAGTGCCCCAAACAACCCAGCATTTTGAACCAGCACAATCAACCCAACAATTT